CAGAGCAGGCACGAGGCCGGGCGAGCTCGGCCCGGGTTCAGACTCCACGGCCGTGCTCTTGTCACGGTGCCTGTGCTGAGGCTGCCCAGAGAGAGGCCCCTTTACCGTCCCCGGGGGCTGCCCCCCTGGGCCGGCCGTGCTCCCGCGTCATCAGAGGGTGACTAACGGGCCGCGCCGCCCCCCCTCCCTTCCTTCCAGGGATCGGGATTACGACGACATCGACGAGGAAGACCCCTTCAACCCGCAGGTCCGTCGCATCGCCACCCACAACCCCACCCGCGGGCAGCTCCGCAGCTTCTGCAGCTACAGCAGCAGTCTGGGTAGCCAGACCAGCCTGCACCCGCCAGCACAGACCATCTCCAATGCCCCAGTGTCTGAGTACATGTAAGGCTGCTCCGTCCTCAACACCCCCCTCGCCCGCTGGGGAACCCCTCCGGGGTGCTGGGTGCTCATGGACTGGCTGTGAAAACCGCACGCTCAGAAACTCCAGTCCTTCCCCGGCGGGACAGCTAGAGGCACCGGGGCTGCTGCTTGGAGGGGCCTCGGGGGGCTGTTGGGGAGGCTTAGAGCGGATCCTTAAGGCATCAACAGACAGAAGCACCCCTCCCCCATGGGGGGGTGGGGGAATATACAGCTCTCCAGCTCAGAAGGGTGAGAGCCCTGTGCTCGGATCTGGTGTGAAGAGGAAGAAGGCTCCTGGGAAAGATTGGTGCGGCCCCCTCGCCTCTCCGCCCCTCCTTCGCTGTGTCTCGCTTCACTGCTGACTTCTCCCTGGGGGAAGGCTCAGCGCTTGGGGGGATGTCCTGGGGCAGGGAACTGCTGCTTGGGAGGGATGGGTTCTGTGCCTCACTTGGCTATTGAGTCCCCGTCCTTGGGAAAGTCGCTTCGCCTTGTTGGCCCCTCAGTAGGAGAGAGAGAGAGGACTGATAGGTGTTAGTGTGTAAAGCTCTTTGACCGTGGCATGCACGGTGCTAGAAAACAGCAAACCCCACAACTGTCCATGAGTGCTGAAGGTGTTCTCGACTCCACTGTTTGTCTGCTTTACAGCCCTCTGCCTCCCTCCTCCAACCAGTCCCAGAACCAGTCCAGTGTTTGTAGAGGGCTCTGGAGTGTCCCAGATCCCCTTTGCATGGAGGTGCGGTATCCCACTCCATGACTGTCCTCCAACCCAACGAGAGAGGGAATTGGCGCACCCTCTCCCTGGTGCTGCTAAAGACGAGAGCCCTGGGAGATCTGGTCCATTCAGCAGACTTGTCCCTCTGGGGTGGTGCTCGGTCAACGTGTGGTCTCCATCTCTGAAGGGCTTTTCCTCCGTCTCCCCACAGGAACCAGGCTGCGCTCTTCGGTGGAAACCCGCGTTATGAAAATGTCCCGTTGATTGGAAGAGGCTCTCCTCCCCCTACGGTACGATGGGCATCTGAAGCCAAGTCGTTTTTATAATAGGGCCTCTTTGCTTTCTCAGTTTTTATTATTTTAATCGTGTTGCTAAGTGATGGGGAATCCTTCCACTTCATCAGAAACCAAAGGGGTTTGTTTGCTGAGCTGGTGACAATGGCTCGTGAACAATTCCCCTTCCAGCCCCTCTTGCTCTTGGGCATTAATGGACGTACCCTGTCCTTTGAACATGGTACCTCTGGCAATAATCCCAAGCCAGGAATCGGCACGTTCAGAAATGTAATGCCAGGACAGGAAGTCCCGCCTTTTCGACTTGGAGGTGGAACTTCTTGATACGCCACTTGAGCAAGAGGGAGAAAATGGCTCATGAAAAAGCAGGTGACTCATTCCCCACAGCTCTCCAGCTACATCACCGATACGTCATATGGCTTCATTTTATTGCATCTTGTCATGCCCTTCTGCTTGATGCCATATTTAAAAACAAATATATCCGTATCTAACTCGTTAACAGATTTCTTCTCCAAGCATTGGCTTTTTGTTTAAAAAAAAGGGGCAGGGAGGTGTCCTAAACATTTCAGAAGACAAACTCAAGTTTTGCTTCATTTGCTTTGGTTCTGATCTTTTTATTTTGTTTGTTTCTCCCAAGATTTTTGTAGAATGTATTCACTGTACCCCAAACCTGTTTCCATTTACCTGGAGTGTTTGGCTTAATGTTCTTTACAAACATCTTGCCTGCTAATGTTTGCTTTGTTTTTGCATCCACTATTTTGGAGCTAAGTTGCCCATCAAGAGTAAGTTTGGGGTTTTTTTCTTTTCTGTTTTGGGATGGTCATTTTGTTCCCCTAATAACGTCCATCGTTTTAGCTGTCCTGTCTGCCATTTTGTATATTTTCTTTGTACGTGTTTTGCTTTCATTGGAACAGAAATGGGAAACCATTGACAGAAGGGGCTCTGGAGCCAGACCCAGGGGTTCTGTGTATCTCAACACCAGTCCAAAGCCTGAATCCGCTTGGATTGTGTGGAGGGCTCCCAGATTTTCTCAACCCGTTGAGTTCTTCAATACACTCTCCTTGTGCTCCTATGTCAGGAAGGGAAACTAACTAGAACCAGGGACTGAAACTGATCAGGGGGCTGTTTGGAAAATCTCCATCAAAATGCCCTTTCCACAGAAAAGGGGGATGCTTCCCCCCCCCCCAATACTGCTTCCACCTCTCTCTGCCTTAATAGTCTCCTCCCTGCCCTGTCTGAGTGAAATATGACCAGAAGCCAGGATGAGCGTTGAGCCCAGCTGGAGTAAATCTAGCTGGAGGAGGTGGCAATAACGCTGGGAAGGAATTTTTAGAAAATAACTTAAGTATCTGATCCTCTTTGCCCAGCCAATATTCCTCAGAGCTGCTCCCCACCGGCTTTTCTTGGAATGAACGCGCTGTGCCAGGGGGATGCCCCTTGCAGTGAGTTACAGCCTCCATCCTTGGAATTGCTCAGACACTGGTGCTCTAGATGACTAGGGAGATCTGGCACCTGCCCAGAGCAGCTTGCAATTAGCTGTGAGAGCACTTCGTACTAAGCAGTGTCAGTTTAGGTGTAAGGGCTTCCTGTTAACGGCTGAAATGCAGGCCTGTCGTTCAGCTCTCCCAAAGAGGGCCCAGCCAGCCCTGCCCAGTCAGGTGGCGCTTGTGTAATGGCCACCACTGCCCCCAGGAGGGGTGGGCCCACAGCATGCCCAGGGCCCCAGAATGCCTTCACCGGACCCTGTTGCAGAGGCTGCTGCGCAGTGGTTTATTGGGGGTTTGCAAATGGGGACTAGGCTGAGACCTGCTGAACTCATCTGACCCTCGGAGCCTGACTCGAGGATTTGAACCCAGACCTCCAGAGCGCACGTGCCTTTCAATGGTTGCTAGAAATCATTAAGCTCCAGGCTCGATAGCATCATCATTCATTAATTCTTCCGTGCATTGGTTGCTCCCCCCCCCCCCCGAAGACGATGGGCATTGTCCATGAAATCCCATTAGACACCTCCATCTCTGGCTGTAATCCCCCCGGGCCGGTGTCATGTAGCCTATGGCTAGGCGCTAGGCCATTGTGGCCAGCTCATGTCCCTCCCGGCTCTTTGCCATCCTTGCACTGAACAGTCTAATCGAAGTCCCTGAGGAGGGGCTTTCAAGCTTTTGAGTTCCAAAATAACAAACCCTGAATAATCTTCCCTAATGCCTTGCCTTGGTGGGGACCTTTTTCCCTCCCCTCCCCCTCTTTTTAAACTAAATGGGGGAGAGAATTTCCTTTTGCATTGTTGTTGGGATGGGAATTTCTTGAGGCTGTCTGCTCTATCCTCTCCCTTCAAATCTCCCACCCTTGCACCTGCTCCAGGGCAGCCAGCCCCAGCCCCCCTGGTTCTGGGAGCAATGCTCATGTCCTACTGCGGAGTTAGCTCGGGCGAGCGACACCCAGGTTGGCCTACCCCAGGTGTGAGCAGCCACACTGCAAAGCCCTGCTGGAGTTACAGTGTCCTCACTGGTTCTGCGCTCCCACATGTGCACCTTCAGGGCCTCAGGGGTATCGCATCGTTCTTTGTGCTAAGACATTCTGATTCATTCAGTGAATTGTGGGCAAACGGGGGGAATTGTGGGAAGGCACTGGAGGACTATAAGCACATGAATGACTTGGCCTGTGTCCATACTGCAAAGTGAGCGGGTGACCAGTACGGGTTTTAGTTTGTAGCCCCAGAGGAGCCAGCTAGCCCGGGTTGGAAGCACTGCTGAACTTGGGGTCAGTGAGTTTTGTGTGTGGATGGGAGAGGGGCAACACCTGAGTAAGAGCCTGCTAATTCTGCAGTGAAGACAGACCTAGGCTATGTCTAGGATTATTCAGAGCAGGGTTAGCTGTCCAGTGCTCCCACTGATGGAGCTGTCGGTGCTAGTCTGGTGGCGAGTGTGAAGCCGGCTAGTGCAGATGCAGCCTTTCATTACCTTTTCCCACTGCCTGTCTCATCCTATGGGAACTAGAATTGGCACTCGTAATCTCCATGTACTAATAATTCAACAGAAGGTCAGCCGGCAAACTTGCGTCCTATAGAGGGAGTTCTGTGAGCCGTGGCATCCTCACACTATCTCTGGTGTGTCTCGGTGCATTCCTCTTCCTCAGTGCCCCACTCGGTGATTGGTGCACACACTCTGTGCATCGCATTTGTGCCTTTTCCCTCTTGTCACGTGCAGTATGTTCTGCTCCGGGGGGGCAGCCCGGCATGGCACAGTTCTTTGCAAGGAGGGGTCATCCCAGCAGGCGTACCCCTTTGCCCTCCAACTTGCCACTGTCCAAATCGTATTTGGTAGACCTGGAAACCAAGCACTGATACGTGTTGCCATAGTCAGGACAGAATTACTGTAATGAGTGACGGTACCTCTCATTAAAATCCCTTCACCTCAGCGCAGTTAGTATGTGAACCTGAAAGGAACATTTGGATACACTGGGGCTGCTTGGTGCGATCATCATAAAATAAAAGTAGAACAAAATACTTTCAAATCAATTCCTCCTCCATGTACCATGACCTGTGAGCCACCTAAATCAACTGTCCTTGTCTCTCCTGGGCGGCCGAAATAGCAAATGATGCAGGGGAGGAGACCCGTTCATTACTAAGGCACTGCTGGGTGGCTTAGACCCCACACCCATCTGCCGTTGGGTCCGTTCGGGTTTCTTATGGCTTAAAGAACTGAAGGGAGAGCGGTGGAGTTTTTTAATTAGGGTTTAGAATTTCCCCTGCCGTATTTACAGTTCAGTTTCCGAGCTAGGGCCTGAAAATCAGAAAACAAAGGTGAGTGATCTCATTTCGCTGTCCCAGCAGAGTGAAAAAGAAATGCTGGAATTGGGGTAAAATTAGATAATTAAGACATAAATAAAATAATCTCGTTTTACAGATAACACTTTAGATTTCATTTCACCAGGCTAGGAAACTTGCCCATAAATAGGATCAAATTCCTCTTACTCACGGGATCTTGACCGATCAATAAAGGACTAACTCAAAAATTAAAACGCAAAGACTTCCGCAAATCCCCTTGGGACTTCACTGTTGCTATTGACTTCATGTGGAAGTTGCACAGATACTGTGGTGATGGGTGGCAGAATAAAACTCTCAGATAGATAGGTTTGCAACTGAAGCCTACTCTTGTACTGACTTGGGGTCTTAAACAGACATTACCAAGTTCAGCAGCACAGCTTCTACTACCAAGTGGCTCACCTGATTACTGACCA